CAGCTGTAATATACAGTTTAGTTCAGTACAGTAATCCCAGAAAAAAAGTTTTTCCTCCCTGGCTATCACTTTTCTACAAGGAATTTGGGTATAAGATATAATAGAAAACTATCTTTAAGGTTTTGCCAGACTACTGAAGACTTAATGAAAACTTTAATAAAACATATACATTGCTATAAAAGTACCAAAAGCAAACCCAGCACTCAAACCCATAAATTCCAAGGCTATACTAATCTACAGTGTGGATTCTGAGATCGCCAATCCCATTGTTGATGTAAAAGACAGTACACTCCTAATTATCACGTCATCATTTATAAACTGCATCCCAAGGAGCCATATCTGCTTTTAGACCATATCTGCTGTTTCCTGTGTTTCAGATCCAGACAACAGAAAAAAAAAATAGATACTTTGGCTTCATAGTACCACCCTCCCTTCACCCTAAAACCTTCAATAGAGGTAGATAAAGACAAGTACAATTCTGTGATCACTGCCAGAGATCTGGAGACCCTAAGCTGAAAAGGAAACATAACATAACCAGGTCTTCATTTTCACCAAACTGCCTCTACACTTATCAAGCATGAAAACACATCCCTAGAGAGTGCATTTTAGCAACACAATGCCATAGGCAGAGACTTAGAAAAACACCCAAATAACCTATTTGCTTCTGGTGTCTCAGTATATGCAGTACTCCATGAAAATGGACACAAAGTATCTGTTTGCTTTGAACTGTAAAGCCTTTAAAAGTCAAGTTCTATATGAGGGAAACAGATACTACTACACTGAGCCAGGCAGCATGGTGTTGGTGTTGGTGGCAATATTTGATGGCAATGGCAATTCTCCTTTGTGTTGTATTTAACGCAGAATGGATTATGTGATGTTCAAGGTGGTGGCAGTAGAAGGAGACTAGGTCTGGAAGGTCTTAATGTCCTATCAGTTACTCAAAGACTTGAGTCTCCATCTATATAGCATGTTAGTCCAAGACTGGGAAGTGTGCATCACCAGGTTTGTGAGTGATACTAATCTAGCCAATCATAAACTTCAGGTTATGGTCAAGGACACTGAGAGGCCACCTATGTACTCCAGATTCAGACAACAACTGCTGCTGGTCAGCTGTTTCTACTGGCTACATCTTGACAGACCCCAAGAATATTGGGAATATGAAAATATATATTAATTATAATTTCCAAGCATTATTTCTTTATATTTCTTTAGCATATCTAAATTGATTATTTATGCTTTGTATTTCGTAGTCAGAGTTTCAGGTTTCTTCCCCTCACCTCGTATTCTATGCTGCCCTACATCTTTTGATTTCTTCATTAGTTGCTAATTTTTGATATTGCATTTAGCTATATTTTCTTTTAAAGTAAAATTTCAATAGTGATCTTGGTGAAAATTCAATCATCTACCAGATTACCTAAACCTGATTTAAGTTTTAGCCTATTTTAATCATAAAAAGATGTCTGAGATTTTTGGAAGACGTTATACCTCTGTCTCATCTCTATTTCTGTTTATATCTGTTTATCTAGCTCTATCTGCAGTCCTGGTCATTATTTTTATTTTCAAGGGGACAGAATTGTCCTAACAGACTATGATGGTTCTCCTTAAACAAAAATGGGCAAGATTCTTGTGCAGGTATCACTTTAAAAATCTTTACTTGATTATTTGTACTGTGGGAAGAGAATAAACAATACCATTTCTCCTTTTTTAATGACATTTATTTCATGTTTAGTTTTCTTGTTTGTTTGTTGTTTTGTTTGAGACAGGGCGTCACTCTGTCACCTAGGAGTGCAGCGGAATGATCTTGGATCTTGGCTTACTTCAACCTGTACCTCCAGGGCTCAAGTGATGCTCCTACCTCTGTCTCCTGAGTAGCTGGGATTGTGGGTGTGAGCCACCACACCTGGCTGATTTTTTTTTTGGTGTGTGGTAGACACGGAGTTTTGCCACATTGCCCAGGCTGGTCTCCAACTCCTGGCTCAAGCTATCCACGCATCTCAGACTCCCAAAGTGCTGGGATTACAGGTGTGAGCCACCACGTCTAGCCAACCTTTATTTTGAAATCCTGTTTGCTTGAGCTTTATGAAATGTATGTCTTGATAGATGATGGGAAAACTTATTTGTATCCTCAATAAGGCAAAAGTGAATTAGTTGAGCATGCCCCCAATTTTCACCCGAGATTAGAGTAATAAACTATGACAGAACACTCCCTTCTCATCCTAGAGTATTTCTCTCAGATTTTCTTCAGGGTACTAGTAGTACATCACTGAAAACCCTTCTTTCTTCTGCCATCTTATAGCTAAGTAAAGCCAGCTTGTGGGCAGAAGGTCATTGAAGGGCTGAAGATCCCTCTCTTCTGAATTGTGAGGGGTAAAACCTTCTGAATTGTAAGGACACATATGACAACATGGGAGGTTTTAATTTTTTTTACACAATAAAACCTAATGTGTTTTGATTATTGTATCCTCTGAAATATCTTAGATATTAAGTTTTCTATTCTCCAGCATGTGAGGGGAGCAAGATTATGTTATTTTCTTCATAATACCTATTTTCCTCTCCTTTATGTTATCCCAAATTAACTATAACTGCTTTAGTTCAGAAAACCTGTCCGAAGGAAATAACCATATATCTAGTTAAATGTAAAATTTCAAGTAATCTACCAGTTATAATCTGCATGTATCATAAAACTGATTTTCACTACATCTATTTCTGACCCTAATTAGGTTTTGCAGCTTATATAAAAAGCTGTTTTTAAAGACTTGGGCCTTGGGAATTATTCACCTTGATGAATAATGCTCAATGTCAATGAATTAAAATATTTTGAGTTATTATAACATTCATATAAAAGTAATAATCATGAAAAGCAAAAAATAATATCAACAGGTAGAGATAGGCATTTATTTTCTAAATGTTAAGAAAGATAACCTGTGATTATCCTTTTTTTTAGCCAGTTACAGAGGATAAATGATAGCTTTTTAAAATATTATACTATTGTTACATTTAATAAGTCATCCAGTACAGTTTTCTGAAAACACAGGGGATAGAAGAACAGGTTAAATGATACCATGAGGAAACAATCAATCAAATTCAGAATGTAGGACATCCTACAAAACAACTAGTCTGGACACTTCAGAAATTCAGTGTCATTAAAGATGGGGGACTATTCTAGAGTGAATAGATCTAACACCCAAATGCAATGATCAAAGTTGGTTGAAAAACAAAGTTTCTAAGACATTCCTTATAACAAATGGTTAAAGTAAAGGTATTTTTCAAAGGAACTGGAGTGAATGAGAATTCTTATCAAAATTGAGGAAAAGATAATAGACAATTAGTGAAATTTGATAGGGACTGGATTTTAGATAACATTGTATAATTATTGTTAATTTTCTTAGGTATGATAGTAGCATTATGATTGTATGAGATAATAATTATGTGATACCTGCTGAAATATTTAGAGGTGAAATATATCTACAAGTTACTTTCATATGAGTTAGTAGAAAAGGGGATGTGTGTGTATAAAATAAGAAAGAAAAAATATGGTAAAATATAAACAGTTGTTAAGTTTGGATGGAGGTTAGAGTTGTAGTTTATGTATAGTTCTTTTAACTTTTCTATATATTTAAATTTTTTCATTATCCCAATATTTTTTAACCCAATGGTTCTTTTAGAGACACATCCAAATATTTAAAATTATTTTTTAAGGCAGCCTTAGGTTTTGTAGAAAATTGAGCAAATAGTACAGACATTCCCCTCACATAGCCATTTTCTCCTACTCAAAGTTTCCTTGTTATCAAAATCTTTCATTACTGTGGTACATTTTTTATAATTGATGAACCATTACTGGTGAATTATTAACTAAATTTCATAGTTTAGTGTTCACTCTTTGTGTTGTATAGTTCTGTGGATTTTGACAACTGCATAATATCCTGTATTTACCATTGTAGTATAGTAAAGTCCCCTGTGTTTAACCTCTTTATTCCCCTTCCTCTTCTTCATAGCCACCACTGATCTTTTAAATGTCTCCATAATTTGGCCTTTTTCAGAGTACCATGTAATTGGAATTATACAACATCGTTGCCTTTTTAGACTAGATTCTTTCACTGAGAAATATGCATTTAAGTTTCCTTCATGTCATTCTGTGGCTTGATAACTTATTTCTTTATGTTAACATTTTTAAAAAACCCAAAAAGAAAATTTAAAAGGCCAACAACAAACTACAACATGCATACCTTGTTTAGAATCAGATTGAAAAACCCATCACTAAAAATACATTTTTAAAGATAATTTGGGAAACTAGAATATTTGCTGGCTATTTAATATTATGAAATTGCTCTTAATTTTGCTAGATGTGGCAATTGAATTGAGGTTACGTTGAAAATTCTCCTAGGCATTAGAAAGGAAAATAATATTGATATATTTACAAGAAGAAAATATCTGGCTGCTCTTGGAGAGTTTCATGAGGTTCAGACACATCAAATTTCAGGGAAATGTGAAGTGGAAGCAGTGCAAAGAAAGAAATATGAGTAAGGAAACTATTTCAGTGTCCATTAGAACACTTATTCGGATTCTGTGCTTTTCCTGGGTCTTTGTGTTTTTCAGCTGGGTTTGAGTGAGTGTGACGATGGTAACCTAACCACCACTGAGTTGCACACATGCCCAAACACTGAACAAAAACAGAACTTTCTTAGTCAAAGCCTTCTTTCTGAAGCATCTTAGGACTAAGATCACTCCCTTCCAGGTTCTGAAATTTATTTTCTCCAGTTTGAAAAAAAATGGCTTGGATATGTGTAAAGATTTATTTATTCTTGCCCTGTCTATGGGTGGAGTGAAGAGCCTTTCGAAACGCCAATAAGACTTCGGTACATTGAGAGACGCTACTTGAAAATACTCAATTTCGATTGCCGTCAGCCTGCAAGAAAGCATTGGGATTTTCTTAGTTTATGAGAAAATAAATACTCAGAAGAGACGCAGGGTGGCGCTGCAGCCTTAGAAGTAGAAGCAGCAAAGCGCCCAGCTGACGCTCGTTTACCCAGATACTCAGATAAAGAAGCAGCGAGCAGGAAGAGGAGGCTTTCTAAGGCGGTCGCTCCGGGAAATTTGGGCCCTAGGATTGTCCATTCAGCCCAGTATCAGCGAGATACGGGGAGATAGAGTCAGCGACAACGTGAGCCCGAGCTGGAGCAGGTTTGGTGCGAGACCAGAAGGCAATGGAGGCCGGAGAGGGGAAGGAGCGCGTTCCGAAACAAAGGCAAGTCCTCATATTCTTTGTTTTGCTGGGCATAGCTCAGGCTAGTTCCCAGCCTAGGTACTATTCAGTGGCTGAGGAAACGGAGAGTGGCTCGTTTGTGACCAATTTGTTAAAAGACCTGGGGCTGGAGGTAAGAGAACTTGCTGTGAGGGGGGCCAGGGTCGTTTCCAAAGGAAAAAAAATGCATTTGCAGTTAGATAGGCAGACCGGGGATTTATTGTTAAATGAGAAATTGGACCGGGAGGAGCTGTGCGGCCCCACAGAGCCTTGTGTCCTACCTTTCCAGGTGTTACTAGAAAATCCCTTGCAGTTTTTTCAGGCGGAGCTACGAATTAGGGACATAAATGATCATCCCCCAGTTTTCCTAGACAAAGAAATACTTCTGAAAATTTCGGAGAGTATCACCCCTGGAACTACTTTTCTATTAGAACGTGCCCAGGACTTGGATGTAGGAACCAACAGTCTCCAAAATTACACAATCAGTCCCAATTTCCACTTCCACCTTAATTTACAAGACAATCCCGATGGCATAATATTACCACAGCTGGTGCTGGACAGAGCCCTGGATCGCGAGGAGCAGCCTGAGATCAGGTTAACCCTCACAGCGCTGGATGGCGGGACTCCACCCAAGTCCGGCACGGCCCTGGTACGCATTGAAGTTGTGGACATCAATGACAACGTCCCAGAGTTTGCAAAGCTGCTCTATGAGGCACAGGTCCCGGAGGACAGCCCCGTTGGATCCCTGGTTGCCATCGTCTCTGCCAGGGATTTAGACATTGGAACTAACGGAGAAATATCTTATGCATTTTCCCAAGCCTCTGAAGACATTCGCAAAACGTTTCGATTAAGTGCAAAATCGGGAGAACTCCTTTTAAGACAGAAACTGGATTTCGAATCCATCCAGACGTACACAGTAAATATTCAGGCGACAGATGGTGGGGGCCTATCTGGAACTTGTGTGGTATTTGTCCAAGTGATGGATTTGAATGACAATCCTCCGGAACTGACCATGTCCACACTTACCAATCAGATCCCAGAAAACTTGCAGGACACCATCATTGCTGTATTCAGCGTTTCAGATCCTGATTCCGGAGATAACGGAAGAATGGTGTGCTCCATCCAGGATGACCTTCCTTTCTTCTTGAAACCTTCTGTGGAGAACTTTTACAGTCTGGTGTTAAGCACAGCCCTGGACCGGGAGACCAGATCCGAATATAACGTCACCATCACTGTCACAGACTTGGGGACACCCAGGCTGAAAACCGAGTACAACATAACCATTCTGGTCTCCGACATCAATGACAACGCCCCTGCCTTCACTCAAACCTCCTACACCCTGTTCGTCCGCGAGAACAACAGCCCCGCACTGCACATCGGCAGCGTCAGCGCCACAGACAGAGACTCAGGCACCAACGCCCAGGTCACCTACTCGCTGCTGCCGCCC